CAGAGCAACAACACAATCTTTTCAAGAAGGTTGAAAATAGAGACTGCTCTCTGCATTATCATCCGCCATGGTTGCTTTTCTTCCTGCTTCCGCGTAGAAAGACGCAGAATATGGACCTTTGTGGAGTATTGATGGTGTTCAGGTCTGATGAATGCGACCCAAGTCACATTCAACTGGAATTTGTATCGGATCGAGGACCACAGAGCCAAGTGGCCTGGGTCGCATTAGAACTAATCAGATCTGTGTTGTTCAGAGAGTCATGAAAAGTTCTCAGAAAAATCGGATTTGGGTCACTTCAGGCTGCTGTGTGAACATAGCCTTTGAAGACATGATGATCTGTTGGTGGTTTGGTGATCATCTGTTAATATTTCTAATCTTGAAAGGTAACAGAATGCAGTCTCAGTGTTAATGTGGCGCAATGATCAGCAGGATTTAATCATGACGGCACTGACCTCCAAGCAATGGAAGCAAAGACCTGTTCTGAGGACTCTGGGGTGTTTAGAAAAAAAAACAAAAAAAACAACTGGCCTCCATAGAACCAGAGGAGTACAGTGGCTGGAATTTCATGCTGTGGTGTTAAACAGGTGTCCTCTGTATACTGTCCTCTCACCCCAGCGGCTCGGTCCTGCAGGATTCCTGCAGCGTCACGGTGGCTCAGGCCCAGCTGCAGCCACACGGAATGAGTGTGCGTCAGTCTGTCCAGGAAACTGAGCCCCCGGTGGAGCGAGTCGTAGCCAGAGTCCCGGGCTTTGGGTGGTCCGCCTCCCATCGCCGGACAGGGTGAGGCTTGAAGAAACAGACGTCCCACCTCTTCACTCAGCCTGGAAAACAGTCAGAGAAGAAGAAACCAGGCTAATTAGGACTACTATCAGAACAGTTTGTTGGGCTGAAAATACCGAATCTCCTGATGGCAGCTGGAGCAACAGCATGACTGTTTTCAGAGGTCCTAAACCCTGGCTGCAGAGCAGAATCATTTCACTCATCTAGATTTCTACATCTAGATCAGTCATTTTTTCTTAAAATAAGTGAATTTGTACTTGAAATGAGGAGGTAAAAGTGACATTTTGCCAATGGAACAAGTCAATTTACATTTAAAATAAGACAAAACAACTGCATTGTCTTATTTCAAGCGGATATTATCTAATTTAAGAGCTTCCATTTTCAGGAAGCTGCTAGTTCCTTGTTCCTTTTGGCTCAGCGTAGCTTTGTGATCCTCTGTTGCGGTTTTTCTTTCCTGAAATGTAATTCCACAATGGTAGATCTATCCAGGTGGTGTAGAATCTATAGCAAGTGGTTCTACCAGGGTTTATAACTAGTAACTCTAATTTAATGTTTTATCGGAGAAATCATTTCTTCCGCCTCGAGCTTCTTTTCCGAAAAATACAGCTTTACGATCAACCAGAAGCAGTTCCATGCAAATATATTGCGATATATCTGACAAAATTGTTTTTATAAACTATTAAATACCACGATAATCACATTTAATGAAGTTTAATGCCAATAAGGCCTTAATTTAATAAATAATAAGTTAATGACTTTTGATTAATAATAATCAGGTGGTTCCCCTGAGTTACAGGTTCTACAAAATTACTCTTAAAATGACAGAAATATGCTGATATTAGAAAATTTTATTTGTATTTTCTAATAATTAATTTGAAATGCATGTACTTTTGAATACTTAAGTATTTTCAAAAGTGAGTACTTCACTCCTTTAACTTCAGTAGATGTTTGACTGAGTAACTTTTAATTGTAGTTGAATAAGATTTGACTGAGTGTCCAAGACTTTTACTTCAGTAATACTGTTGAGTACTTCGTCCACTGGTTAAACCTAACTCCTCATGGTCCCCACAAGTACCTATAAGTCAACAAAATCTCTATCTTTAGCAGATCTCTGGAAAATTGTCCCCACTAGGTACCAATAGCCATAAAGACACACACCTAAGAAAGTCTTAGACAACTTTGAGGGGGCGTGGTCAGTGACAGGGCTCCCATCAAGCACGTCAGATAACAATGGCTGACTCCTGCAGAGGTTAGATCATCTCTCTCAGCACCTCCTGCTGTACCTCAGTCTAACCCTAAACACCTGAGAAGAGCGCCCTCGGCTGGTAGCTATAGAACCTGCACTTTGTGAGCAGAGTATTAGGGTATGGTGGGTGAAACAGGATATAGAACAGGAAGTGAGCTCACCTTACATGTGGGTCCGTTTCCAGACCTTCTGCCGGCTCACTCTTCCTCCTCATCTCCTGCTTCAGCGTGCCGATCTCCCAGGCAATCGAGTCGATCAGCTGGAGAAACATCAGCACTCAGTGATGTAGGTGCATTCTATCCCAACTTTTCTATCATTACACACTAGAGATGGGATCAGAACATTTATTGCTATCATTAGAAACCTGTCTGTGAGCTGGACAGAACCAGAACCTATAGATTCACACACATCTAATAAACCAGAGTT